AAACAAAATACCCCAAACACATCCGACAAATTATCCACCTTCAAAGCAGCCATGACTACCAACCAAAGTAGATTGGCTGCTAAAAGAGGAAAGGAAATGAAGAATCGTAAGAAATCCTTGAATCAAGTGAGGAAAAGCCGGCAGGTCCCCACCCGGAGTTTGACTCCTCGGAAATCCTTAATGGCAACTGAAGAGGCCTCGTGCTCGCATTTGGCTGGCCCCTCTAGAGGACCCAGGCGAAAAGCTCCTGCGGTGCATTAAGCTGCAAAACTAGCAACTGATAAAGGAGGAGAAACCCAACAAAACCAGCAAACCATTACTTGTGGCCATATGTAAGGAGTCGATAGGGGCTCTATCGTAAGCTGAAAACAAAATCATTTTTGGTAGACGCAAGGCCAGACTGAAAATCTTCCAAGGCGACAAAGCGGCTAACGAAGTCGCCACTAAAGAGTATGTTCCCATAACAGTCGGGTCTACGTAACCAGAACGGACCCTGATTTTATCCGGCAAAGGACTGTGAACTCGGCAAAATTCTGCCGCTACAACAACAACACTGAAGAGGACGACACCAGCCAGCAAGATGTCCCAGAAGCTCAGATGCGTGCAGATTAATTTGCAGCAACGAAATGTGCTATAGCGTGTACAGTAGTTAAAACATATTTTACAAACAAAACGAAGGTAAACGAAGAACATGCATTATCATTCTACCTATAGCACAGCAGATACAACAGTGGTAAAGGGGGAGGAAGAAAGAGAGAGGAGAAACAGATAGTCTGATCGTTGACGAGAGTGTCCGAGGAACCATCAATGTCGGATCACTCCTGGATACTCTTCAACATTTGTGGGAAATCCAATACTCCGCACCAATATCGAAATCCCAGAAGAACAGCATGGGATAAATTTCACAAGATGGCCACAAAAAGCTTAGTAAATACCAACTATTAGAATAAAATCAATACAGTTCAAGAATTAGATGAAGAGGTGGAAAAGTTAGAAAAAGGCGCTTTCAATCAAACTACACCATTAAAGGTTCTCAAAAAGAGGAAATCGCCTCCTTGGTGGAACGTTGACCTTACCAACCCCAGAACTCACTTGAGAAAAGCCACCAGTGAAAGTTATAGGACCAAAGTAGAAGGGACCTTCAACAATATAGAAATAAGCACGATTAATGATTCTCTGTCACATGGCGGCATAGACGACATGGTTTTGATGCAGGATGTCTTTAAGTTCACTGGCAGGTCAACTCCAATTGTCAATAATTTGGGTTCCCGGTCACAGGAACATTATTGGCAACGAAAAAGAACCATACTATGTCCGCTAGGAACGATCAAAAGAGATCTTTATATGATTATAATAGATTGTGCATCAGCAGCGCAAATCGAGCCGGTGGTGGCAGCACTCCTACCTACCTAGCTAAATGTTTGTAAGAACTGCCTTCAGTAGTTGAGAAATCAACGAGCCATAAACGTGTTTTATTGAGCCTAACGAAGGGAACGAATTAATGCTACATCGGGTTATGTCTGTCTGAAAAAGAAATAAAGAGAAAAAGATTCAGTACTATTAAAATATAAGTATAATTATATAAGTGTAAAGCAATTTTGTATACTAACAGTCAGATTAACGTATCATAAGTTATGCGTCTACTTCTTCTATGTTTTAAGATATGTACCTCTCATTCTGGCCTATGTATTATATATGACATAAGATAATTATGAAGGACCGAAATTCTCGGTATATGGGGGTATACTTGAAAATTTACCCACTTACCGCCTATAACAAACTATACACTCATACATAATGTGATATGTGATATGGGTTTCTTTTCAAATATCTTTTTGTGTGTACCCATTTAGTTTACAATTCCTGACATCACATGCTACATACTTATGCATATTGTTAAGATGTGTGTTTGTTTATAATTCTATATGCATTTTTGAGTCTTAATTATTTAGATTAGAACTGCGGCATGTTCTATGATAAACATGCTCAAATATTATATATTTGAATAAAAACAAAAAATACTCGTATATGAGTATTATGGAATAATTATATTTTGTAACCTTCTGAGAATTCGAAGGAATACGTAAACGGACTTACCTCAAGGTATCATAACTTTTACTTAAGTTATAATTTGAAGATATGTGCAGACCATAATACAAGCCGAAATCAATTTTCCTTTCCATTCTGATGACCATATACCCAAAATGGATTTTGTGCAACATGTTGCTGAGGTATAAATATTATATATGGATATATTCTGAATTCTGCTTACATATGTATGTACATATGTATATTGCCTGAGTGATTTCTCAAAAAATGTGTGCGATTCACCTACTTCATAACTATGCATATTTTTCTTTACAAAATTTAGTGTCAGAAATATGAACCTGCTAGTAACAACATTCGTCTTTATCTGATATAAAAATTATGGTAGTATTATGTAATTCACACAATACAAATTTTCAAGCATCAAAAATTAAAAAAAAGATTAATGTCGATAAGTTTTGGCAACGCCCATGTACTGAATTACGCACATATCAGGTTCTGCAGGGAAAACTTATCATATAATTTTTACGGTAAAATCATCAATAGTGGTCCATTTGTAGGTGCGTAAAAATTTCCATTATTAGGGTACGAATAATCCATAGAAAAAATCAGTGTCAGTAAAAGTTTTACATCTCTATATAAACACCCTTGCTGCTGGCGAATATGAATAAATATGAAATATGAATGTGTAGAGAAAGTTTGGAATCTATCTTGGTAGGAAATATGAACTTGTATATTGCGCAAGCAATCGTTAGAGCACATCCCTCATTATTTCTTCTGTATAATTTGTTGCATTCGGGAATAAAAATATTTGTGTACCCATACATGAATATCTAAGGACATATATATATTTGTATATAGAGAAAGCCAGCGAAGTGCAAACTGAATGACAGAGGAGTAATATTTGAAAATTTGAATGAAATGGATTCATACTATATTTATATTTTATTTATTCAGCTTAAATAAATTGTGTCACTGAGCAGGGTTGATTTTTAATAATTTTAAATTTTCTGTAGTTAAGAGTGCCGAAATAAATCAAATTCAAATAAATTTTCCATAAAAGATTTTTTTTTTTTAATTCATTAACACAGAAAAAGAATAAACGTAATTTTAATACTTACGTGTATATTAATTACATATTTGCTTGTACAACTTCTTATGTGTATACATAAATTAACAAATAAGTCACGCATCCTTAAAAATTGCGTGTAAGCCACCCATCGGTAAAGTCACCGGTTTTTTCTGTTAATGTTTCTAACGCCTGAAATACAGACTTTATTAAGTCCTAATTGAAAGATTTATCTGAAACTTTTGTTAACAATACAGAGTCAGCGCTAATTCTTCCAATGTATTGGAGTTTCGGTAGCCGTGATTTGCTGGGTATTGTGCATGTGTTGCCATACTGTATATTATATTTTAGGTGTATAATATACAGTATTCTTTAATTCGCAAATAAAAATTTTATTACGAAGAGGTTTTAGATATACATACAAATGTACAAATTTTCGTCTTTCATCAAATTGTGCCAAAAAGTAGTCGATTGTGCACAAAGTGGCGACTAGGGTTGAAAGGGCGGGAAAATGCAACATAATGCGTACTTTTCCATTACTGGCCTAATATTTAATATGAAACCCTAATTATTAATGGATCCTTACGCACATATAGTAAAAATAAAGACTTTTTTAGACACTCATGTAAAACACATATGTACAAAATACCTGTGTTGTTTAAATTAGTGTGCGGCTTGCTCGCTAGTTTTAAATATTGGGCGCACTCTCTGTTCCATAGGAACCGTTCTAAATGTATATATTCTACTTGTATTTTGGTGAGGTCTTAAGAATGTTAAACCATAGAAAGTTGAATTAAATAACACCGTTGACTTTTAGAGGATACACCTATTTTATTTTACAAAAACGAATCAGTGGCCAACCAAGGCTTTTTGTTTTGTATTTGAAGTTTTCGATAAAGTGTGTTTTGAACAAGTCCAGCCAATAAAAAAGCATGGCTAACTTTTATGGTCACAAATAAAACTTTTGTTTTCAGGTAATTTAGTTGGAATTTGAATGAGGTCGATAGAGTTGAAGCGAGAACGAACATGATTGATTGTCGAAATTGTTGTAAGTATAAGTATTCATTTCGAGATTGATCAAAGTCTCTACTATATTATCTATTTCTGTTACAAAGTGAGTTATTTATTTTTTTCGTGCTTTCATAAGGATTTAAATAGAATCTCTAAATCATACATTTTTTAAAATACATGGGTCAAAGAAGAAAGGAAAAGAGATTTCCAAAAATTTCCAATAAGTGAATATGGAATCAAGCGTTAAGTAACAGTTAATACAAAAACAATATTAGCAATGTCCATTACACTGATGTAATGAAGTGAAGTTCATTATTTTGGTGATTGTTTTTATTTTACCTTCGTGTTTTTACGTGACGTTGTCTTCGCCACTCGCAAAAGCATCTCCAAGAGAACTCCCTCTCAGAGAATTTACTGTATATGAGATTGGTCATGATATCAAACAGAAAAGAGCAACAATGCCGTAATGGAAACAAAAGCAAGAACAATAAAAATGGAAAGGACAATGTTGCAGCAATAATAGGAGCAACAAATGTTGGCAAAGAAGAAGAAAAATTAAAGGATGAAGATGCACAAGCTACGGCAGGAGAGGAAGTAGGAACAAAAACAAACGTGAGTAGCATCCCTCTTGACTCCGTCTAAGACTTGATATCAAAATATATATGAACTTGCTCCCACATCTTAAATCCGTTTGAATTTTAGAATGTTTTAGTATTTTTAATTGACTTCCAAAGGTACATAATATTTTAACACAATCTAAAAGGTTGTGTTTCATGATATTTAATGGAAGCTCCTGGCTGTTTTTTAGTCAGTTGATTTAAAAGGCATATGTCTTCAAAAAAAAAATTTTAGAGCGTTTACGAAAAATATGAATTTCGAAATAAGTACGATAAAATACCACAAGCTAACGCATAACTAAGTGAAAATATGTTTAAAGCAAATAAAACAATGTCGGTAATATGAGAAAACAGGTGAAAAATCAGGAGAACCTCTGGCGTCTACAAATGGATATCAAGTTCGTACATTGGCATTCTGTTGCTAGCAGCGAATTGACAGTATACCATATACGATTCGAAGAAAACCATACACATGCTTGATAAAACGAAGAAGTGAGAGCGCTTTTGACACTGTCAAGCGAATAAATAAGCCATAGCTTTTAAAGTACACCTGAAAATTGTTGTATGAAATAAAAGGGAAAACTACCAGCCCGAAACAGGTGAAAGTAACGTACAAGTGAAAAGCCGTAACCATACCTTGGCAGTGCCAAAACAGCAGGAAGGTTAAATTTAGCATTCGGTTAGGCGACCAATGAAGACAACTTCACTTTACTCCTCCATCGCCATAACGCATTACACTCGTATTTCATCGTTGACGGCACCGACAGTAGCCTTCGTAACGCCATTATTCGTCGTATCCTTGCATACCGCCAACAGTGTTGTCTTGTGCTTTGTTCGTGTTGCATGTGCCGTCCGCGCGCCAATTCATACTAAAACGAGAGAAATTTGTGTTCGAAACTTTTTTATTGCCTTGCAAAGGTTTCATCATACATATAATATATAAATGTGAGCATTATTGGTGTGGATGCTATGAAAGCCAATTTGCTAGAAGTGGTATGGGTGATTAAATTTCATAAAAAGTTTGGGTTGACTAAATGGCATCCGGTATCACAATGTATAAGTACTTTAATGGTTCGTTAATTTAGTGATTAATATATGCATATAGATATGTATATATGTGTTATATATATAACATCATTTATTCATACGCAATTTTAGTTTAGATTATTTATCTATTGTTCCCCTCTGTTTATTACAAATTCTGAGTTATATATTTCTGCGTTGGTTTCAAAAATTACTGTTACCTGCTTTTAATTTAGCGGCTTTGATAGATGGAACTGCGGTTCCTATTCTAAACTTTGCTGTTAGCTTAAGTAGCTGAAAGTTATTGCGTGGCTCTGAATTCTTCATAATCAAAATCCGCGCCCACCAATGTATTAGCTGGAAACCAAATATAACTGTAAGTACAAAAATTTCATTTAAAGCATGTTGCATTTAATTTATAAAGCCGAGTCGCTTAAAATGTAATGTTGCATTGTAGTCTAAAAATATTAGGTATGTTTGCGCCCACAAGTCTCCTTTGAGTAGATATAGGTACTTATTGTTTGTGATGCTGTAAAACAAAGGTGTGATTGATACAGAATACATACCTGACGGCTATATTCCCACATTTATACCGTATATAAAGCGCGAGTCTTATGACATCGAGACTACTCTCCTTTCCAGCTGTAACACTAATGAAACTTCACTACAGAAGAGATCTGTCGCAGCTGCCGTTCTAATTTCCAGATCGCACGTGGCAAAAATAATTTACAAATACCATTTAAACTTTTTTTTTTAGTTTTCGTGGTCTATCTTCCTTAGGCGTTAAAGCTTCGTTGACTTGCTTTGCTCACCATTGCGCTCATTGTGTAGCTGTAATTTACTCTTATTTAATTCACTTAAAGCTCGTTTTGCGGTGTTTAGGGAGCTTAAAGAAAAACACGGTGGAAACCTCTATATTTTTCATTCGCCAATAGCTTATATATGAAAAATCGGTGAGTTTTGTAGCGTTTTTACACTTGCTTATTTTTATACTTTATATTTTAGTGCGCTTTGTGTATTTGTCTGTCATTTTTTCCGTTTTTATTTATTTTTATGTGTGCTTTTCTGTTTCAGCTTTTCACTTCATATTAGTACACATTTTATTGAATTTCCATTGCTTGTCACAGCAAAAATTTGTGTTTACCATAGATGAAATAAATGTAATATGACTCGAGTTTGTTTAATTTTCAGAAAAAAAATTGTCATGGAATCCGTAAATTGAGATTGATGGATTAGAAAATATGGCTTGCAGTTTATCAAACAAAATTTACAAAGCAATAAGAAATGTTCTACTTCAACGTTTTAAAGGGCCTGAAAATGATAATGTTTTGTTGTCATTATCACGTCCTTTGCATTTTACTAGTTTTAGTTTGTTGTACTTTGTGTTCCTTTGTTTCTTTTATGGGAATTTTGTAAATTTTTCGTCATTTAACATTAAACACATCCTTTTTGTATGTTTGCTATTGACTTATTCACAGAATCATTGCCAATTGCTTGTGGTTATCATTATTTTACTGTCTTTTAGTAGAACGTTTTATGGCTTACTGCCAGCCGTTATTATCCCTTCAATTGTCGCTTTTGTTATTTTGTAGAAGCACATCTTACAGTTATGTAACTGGTGGTTTCGAGAGCAGCCTTACCTGAATGTTTGCCACTTGGAGATTGGTGGAACTTTTTATTTAAAATGTGATGTAAAATATATTATTATAGTTTTATTTTCGAAACTGATAGACAAGCGACCTTGGCGTTGAGGAGAGTGCTGCGCTTAGAAAAGTTTGAATCGTTTCTATGAGATGGTGCCTATGTAATTAAATAAATGTTTTGTAGTTGCACCTCATCTTCAAAAGTTTACAAACAATTAACAACAAGAAATTGTTTCTAAACTGTGATTGGAGCTTTTCCAAATTGTAAACCAAGAAATATGCGTCGTTATATGACAGTGGATAAAACATGGTTCCATAATTTTTAAAGTTATGGCGTCTATTTTTGGCATGAACGTGAAATATTATTAATTTACATCCTTTCCTGGTATCTCTGGCTAATTCTGGTGTGCACAAAAAGTATAACAAGCTCTAAGCTGATGCATTACTTGTATTTCAATCTCTTTTACATAGCTTACCCTGCACACTGGATCTCTAATGCAGTAGTATTCTTGAATTTGCAAGTTTCACGTGAACAAATTTTCTTGCTTTAACCCTTATGTTAGTAACCAACTTTACCGATGTCTTTTGGCAACCACGATCTGATTATTATTATTTTTTTTTCTAAAAAATTTTTTTCTTCAAATATTAATAGACAGTGACAATTTAAAGAAAAAAAATAACAACGTAGAATAAAAAAAACAAATAAAAATAATAAAAAAAATTAACTCACAAATAGCTTTCTTTTAAGTTAAAAAACGACGATTTGAGAGCTTAAAATGAAATATTGAATTTTTTTTAAGCTATTCACACAAATACACCGCGGTGGGTACCCGGGTACGCGGTTAGTAATGCAGACCATGACGTGAAAACTGCACTCTGAAATATATTCCATTAAAATTCAATATTGAAAACAATTTTCTTGCTTTAAATTAACGCTTGATTAGGAAATTCCCCCATAAATATATGCGCATAAGGCTATATGTACGAGGTATGTTCCGAAAATCACATTTCTTTTAACAAACGAAAATCGCCAAACCCATAAAAACAATACAGGTGAAAATCTTATCCTAATTCAGGCCATGTATACTAGCATAATAAAATAAATTTTGACAATTAGGCTCTCCAAACCCGCAAAATTTTAAATTAAAAAATCCCCTTGTTTTCTGAACACACCTCGTACATGTGGTGTCCATGTTGGTATGTAACAGGTCAGAGCATGAGTACATTCGGCTTGACTGCTTGTGAGCTAAAAATATCTGTATTGCAGGAAAGTAGCTTATCCTTGAGTAAGCTTTTACAATGAAAATAATTTGTGCTACATGGCTTAGCCATTAGTTGTGCGGCTGTTTTGTCCGTTGATTTTATTGAGATTTTTGTTATATCCGAGTGCGACTTTGTTTCGAATATACAACGGAATTGCGTATTCGTTTGGAAGCAAATATATTTATGTATAGTATACTTATATATACGAAAGTACGTTCTGTATCTGTTTTAAGTTCTTTATAAAAGTGAGTTAAAAATTATATTACAAATATACCTGGAATTTCCAGAAAAAAGGTGAATGGTGTCCAATTGGACGCAAATGTAAATTGAGTTTGAAGTTAAATTTCGGTAAATAAACTGCGCTATTTTTGCTTGTTTAGTAACTTATAACAGAAGAAAATTAATAAATTTAACCACGCAAATTGTTTGACGTAATATGCGTTTTATATCAAAATAAAGCTGGATACCCTTCAGAAATCCAAAGGTTCCTTACAAGAACTTGATTCCGATCGTTCAATTTGTATGGCAGCTATATTATAGTAATATGATCTCAACAATTTTTTCGGAGAATATATTATTGCCTTAAATAATAACTCGTGCCGAATTTCGTGAAGATACCTCGTCAAATAAAACAGTTTTCCATACAAGCACATTACTTCGATCGTTCAGTTAATATGGCAGCTATATGCTATAGTCTAATTTCTTCGGAGATTGCATTATTGCCTTAAAAAAAAATCCATGCTATTGTGAACCAGAACTGAGAATTTAAAATCCGGTGTCAATTAGGAGTCCGAAACACATGCAAAGCGAAAAATAATTAAATCTATTTGAAGATTTGGTTTATCGGGCAATAAGACTGACGACAAAATTATTTTTTATGAGTAGTTACATACATAGAACATCGGTAGGTTGTCATTATGTCCTTTAGAAAGTAGAAAAATTGCTCATCAGTTATTTGAATTTACCCCACTACGCTAACGCGGTTGTATAAACATGTACACACATCGAAGAATGCGATTATAAATATTGCTGCGTTTCGTAAAAATGCGCGAATTTTTGTAAAACACACAAAACTTTTACACTGATCAAAATGGATTTTCTGATTTCTTTTCTTACATACTGAACGAATCTACCACATTCCTGAACGAATCCAAACGAATGCTAGGTCCTCCATGTATACTCCGTAAGTTACCTACGTAACTTTTTGGGTGCATATTCGTTGATGTTGGAATTTCTCTTATCAAATGCCTTATTGTAAAATACTTGTCTACATGTCACTTTCTTCTTTTCTTATATATCTGTCTGTGGAAGTGACATCTGTGTTTTCCACCAATCAATTTCCTTTTTTACATCTTTTGCTGCACCCTCTAATCGTTAGCTGTTTAACGCTCCATGTACTCGCGTACAAATATGATATTATATATGTATCTGGGTATATTACAAATCTTTATCTTTTTTCATCCTCTTCTGCCGTTCCAATTTTGTCCATTTTTGATACATTTTTGTTTCATCATTACTATTTATTCTTTTCAACTGAATGCTCTTTCTGTGTATATGTGAATCTAGGTATGTATGTACATAGTTGAGAGCCTACAATTGGTTGCATGGTAATGAAATAATAAATCAATAACAGTTTATAGCATTAGCAAAGGGTTTCTCCCATTTTATAGCGTAATTCTACTCCACAAAGTCACTCCAATAAACATTGTGAGTTTTGAAGCAGATATAATTTAAAATTATCGCAGTATTTTGTTTACTATTTGCACTGTGTGCCATGATGATATCAGAGAAATGGAAGATCCCGTACATTTGAAGCGGTCTGTTAACGGTGGTTGGGTTTTATTCGAGACTTGTTCCAGGTTCAAATACACCGAATTCTTTAAGTCCAATGTTTTTATACCTCGCAACCTGTTGCTACAGATAGACATAGGGTTATATATTTATAAATGATCATAATGGCGAGGCGAGTTGATATCCGGGTGAGTGTCTGTCCGTCTGTCTATCTGTCTGTGCAAGCGTTGGCTTGAGTAAAAATTAAGATATCTCGATGAAACTTGGGACACATAGTCCTTGGCAAAAAGTAAAGAAGAGTTCGTATATTGGTATAATCGGACCACTGCCACGGTCACAAACGCTTATTATCGAAAGCGTATAAAGTGTCATAACTAAGTAGTAGTTTAAACATTTTTAAAAGTGGGGGGGCCCCGCCTCTTATAAGTTTAATGTTTTCCAAACTAATCAAGCTATATCACAAAAAGTGCACAGGACAAATTTTCGTTGTTAAAAATTACTAAAAGTGTGATAAATCATAATTAAATACGTCAGAGACATTAGACTTACATCCAGGATGGAAGAAGAAGGCTTTATAGTAGCCGATGTCAATGGACAATGGGCGTGGCACCGTCCACTTTTAGGTGAATTCACATACCTCGACCCATTTCAACAAAATTCGGTACATAACATTTTTCTAATACAACCACGCCTATTCCCATACAACACAATTTTAAATTTATCTGATTTGAATGTAAAAAAGGTTTGAATCATTTGATACTTGCAAGTTGCATAGTAGTAACGGATGATTTTTCTATATAGGTACTTAGTTGTTATTGAAGAATTTGGCTGTCATATTTGCTTGACGAATGTATTAAGATATTTTACTCTTAGTTCTATAGGAATATATTTATTTTAATATATCGAAATATAAAGAATTTTGCTTCCACTTTGTTTCTCTTTCATTAAGCATTTTTATGTGCTCATATCCTTTAGGTCAAAAATTCGAAGAAGTAATGAATAAAATTTCAACTCACTTAATATATTGGTTAATAATAGGTAATAAGGATTTCTGGTGTTTAGTCATTTAGAATTCGAATTAAAGTCCCACTAAAGGACACTTGCCGAAAAGGAAACAAATACCAAATAAAATCAACGAAATCTCAACACTTTGTTTGACAAGCTTTATTTTGATACCACAACTGCCGCAAGGATTGTCACCTTCTCGGAACTTTCAAAATCATCTTTGTATTGTTTGTTTACCCAGGTTTTGCTTGCGAACACTTCTTTAGTCTTTCGAGTATTCGTCCATTCGTAACAGTGTTTTATTTACTTCTTATGGGTGGGTGTGGAGTATTGCTTTGCGTCACTTTAAGTTTTCTCTTGATTCAATTTTCGCTTTTTTACGTTGCTTTGTTATTGTGTTTATGCTTTGTGTGTGGGTATACATTTTTTCATTCAATCCACCGGAACGCGTATTTGACTTTATTGCATTTGGGCCTATCGACACGTTGTCATGTGTTTTGTTTCGTTTTAGTTTTCCGCGCGGGTAGTGTTTGTTTTTTGCATTTACCGACTATCGCTGCCAATTCCACTGTGTGCAACACTTTGTCATCCTTTCAAATTCAATTTTTGTTCTCATTGAAAACTATTCGTGTGTTGTTAGCGCAGTAGGCCCAAACGTCACGGTTGCGTATTTTAATCCAATAATTCCAATTTAGATGTGCTCTGCACAAATGTCAAGCATTCGGTAGTGTTCAAGTACCTTGGTGAAAGCGATAGCACTGGTGTAAATTTTCTATACAAAGATTCACCAGATTTTACTCCGGATTGCTCAAAAGTCGACAGTATTCGATTTTTGTATAAGGATATACACTCAACGGACGCTCCTTCCTGCGCTGCCCTCTCATTCACCACGCGATGGTACTGTGTCAACATAAATAGTTACGATTGCGAAATTTATGATTATCTACACTCTGCTGAGCACTAAACATTAACTAACATTTTGCGGCCTCATCTTTATTTCAATGTCTCCACATTCCAAATCGCCGTACGTTTGTTTGGTTTTTGAATCATTTATGCCCCTTTATACTCTCGCAACATGTTGCTACATGGTATAATAGTCTTGTTCACCTAACGGTTGTTTGTTTCCCCTAAAAATAATTGAGCTAGAGTGTTATACATATATATATGATCAGGATGACGAGCCGAGTTGAAATCGGGTGTCTGTCTGACTGACCGTCAGCAAGCTGTAACTGGAGTAAAATTAAGATATGTCGATGAATCTTGGTACACAAATGCCATTTGCACTATAAGAAGTTTGGTGTTGTAGATGGGCGTAATCGGATCACTGCCATGCCCACAAACACCAGTAATCGAAAACGTATTAAGTGCCATACATAAGACGGAAATTAAGATACAAGAGATATATTATATTAAGGTACAAAACTATGAGTTTAATGCATATATTTCCCAACATTCAAGCTATACTCCCAAATTTGCCAAGAGCTAATATTTTTGTCACCTCTGCCGAAATCTGAAAATAAGTGAAATCGGATGATAACCATGCCCACTCCTCATATAACGTTTTTGTTTAACTTTACTTAAAATGCGATTACTCACTAACTAAATAAGCAGAGACATAACATTGCGTTCAATACGGTAAGAATGAGCTTTATAGGGGCCAATATCAAAATTAGACAATGGGGTGTAC